ATAACTACATGGCATGGGGTCAGCCAATGCCAAAGCTCTTCAAAAAGCACTGAGCATAAACAAAAACTACTAAAACTGTTTTGAATAATACAATAAGCAGCTCTGTTTGTAGTCCATTTATGAAGTCTGCTTTCAAATTTTCCACATCAGGAGAATCATTCTGAAAAACACTCGGAAATCTCCACCTGACACTTTAAAGCAGTCAAGAGTTCAAGTCTCACCTGTGTTAAAATTGATCAGATTTGGAGACTAATGGGGCATTGGTACAAAAGATTCTAAGAAAACTTCGGCCAAATTCTTGCATGTTATGGAAAGGGCTACCTAAACAAGAGCTGGTCCAACAAGATGGCAGCAAGGTCAGCTAGGGGGAGGAGCAAGCCCAAGAGGAGTGGGAGGCATGAAACCCAGTCAACTTACCACATACTCATCCTCGTAACCATCATCATCAGGCTCGCCGGTGTTGGGATCACAGTCCTTCACAAGGAACTTGAGGGTATTGGTGAATGTTCCTGTGACTACAAGATTAAGAAGGAGAAGGCATTTTCTTTCCGTTATCAGTGGAGGAAGTGTACAAAGCAACTCTTCAATACGAGGGGATCCTACCTTTGCTACTACGACAACTCTACAACTGAGTATTCTCCATTATTCCCAGAGTGTTTTGACTATAACGGTTGCATGATGTCGGAGTAGTGTATTACAAACCTACAGGTCAACTATCCAAAATGCCAAATGACCTCAGAGTTTCAGCTTTCCGCCCACCACAGAACTGTTTACAAGACAAGTTCCTATTGTCTAAGAATTAGCAGTAAGCTGCTGTTAGCTACCTAACACAACAAGGTCCCATGGACCTGTGCACCTGTTCCAATTAATTATATTAAGGAGGGTCGAGGTTATTGCCAGACACTTGATTCTTACCACTAGTAGCATCTTCTGGCATGGAGACACAGGTATAGGTCACACCTGGCTGATTGTACTTGAGGCTAGCCGCAGGAACATGGCAAACTGTCTCAAACCCATCGCTGGAATCCATCTGGACAGTCACATTCTCCAAAAGTTGATCATTTAAGGTGTTCGTGCAGTCAAACTGTAGGTATAAAGATGTCAATCAAAGGAGTCGTCAGAACTGCTAAAATCAGGAGAGTCAATCTCAATAATTCTTATCAAGCTGGAGATATACACTCTAGGTGTAAATCTCAAGCAGTCCACATTGCTTGAAATGTCTTCCTCCAGAGTGTAATGCTAAACAATAACACCAAAATATCTCAAGAGTAAGTCTGCTTAACCCTAACAGTTCCAAATCCTCCAATTTCAATACGATTTAACATACACCCTTGGGGGTTAGGGTTAATGCATGCAACGCAGTGATACATCTGTTGACCAGTCATTTTCTGTGAGAAGAAAAGTACCATGGTAATGTCTCCAAATTCTAACCTCCCTCAAAAGGTCTGAGTACAACTCACAAGTTGTTCCTCAATGGGCTGGTATCCTCCTAAAGACAATGAATCATGTTCTTAATATTATCAAATCAACCAACCACCCCTCAAAACCAAACACCTCAAGAAAATCCATACTGACATGTATACAATCCTTCCGATTTTTGCCATATGTCCTGATTCTCTACAAGTATTACACACATCATCAGTCGGCAACTAAATAAAAATTCCAGCGTGATTCCGCACTATTTCCTGTCTTTTGCTTCCAAGTGTCTCCTCTTATTCACTTTGCCTATTTTAAATCTCCATCATTCTGAATCTCACACTTCTGGATGGCCAATACAGAAAAACCAACCTGGAACACGATGTTATTAGCAAAGGTGTGCTTGATACATCGCACCATGTACTCAGTCTCAGACTCGGTCAACTCTACCGGCTTGGAGGACTTGAAAAGAGGACCCAGAGAGGCAAACTCAGGAATGGCAGCCAGTTGCTCTGGTGATGGAGAATAAAAAGCAATTACTTACATCATGCATGTTGTACACGCTTTATGATTAATGCCTTGTCACCTGTAAATAAAATATGCAATATTTAATGGGAAGATTAATAGAATTATTCTCAAGTTGTGTAATCCTTGGAAGACTTCAGCAACTCATGTTGCCTCAAATTTATTTCATCTCTGCTTTCCTGCTTTCCAATTCTTTCCAGAGCTATTTGTATTACAGTAAATCACACAGCTGTACAGACTTGTTTTACATTTCCACAAGGCAGAACAAACATATTGCTTCAAAAACAGGAACATTTCAAACATAGATTCAAACAGGAGGTTCTCAGCAGCTTATAGGAGTGTGACAAATAACCATGCCAAGACCACCTGAGGTCCCTACAATCAATTAACTTTGTATGATTAAAAGTCAGTGATCTGTGGCTGGAATTCCTACCTCTGATAGCTATCTGTAACTTCCACATTCAACTTACCTGCATATATCTCCTGGACTGGAGCACTTGGCTTGTCTGCAGGCTTCGCAGAAGGCAACAGATCTAGGAAAAAGACACAACAACATAGACTGTAATCAACAACAGTTTACTGACTGCTGATCATTTAAGCAAACAGATAAAGAAAATTTAATGACCTGGCTTTTTCTTGAGTAATATTTTGGTTTTACTAATTTCTCTAGTTAGCATTGACAAATGAAAATAAAATAATGAATAATGAAAGAAAAGTATTATGCTCCAACTGTTTTTGTAATCTAGTCAAAACAGGTCAAACAAGTGACCTACCTGGCTTCTTCTGCTCAGTGATAGGCTGCGTTTCCAAGGGAACAGTCTTCATGTCAAAGGGTGTCTCTGAGGGGCTGAGTGTGTAGTGATGCAGCGCCCTCTCTAGGCCAACAATAGACACAGATAGTCCTAACGACGACACACAAGAAAATTCAACACAATAAATAAAATGGTCCACACGTTTGGCTTGTTGAACTTTTTTAAAGGTAAATTGGTCAGTTATCATTAATAATAAATGTCAATTGTTACCATTGAGGATATACATCGAGTTGAGGGCTTTCTGTTGTTGCTCCAAGACACGAACGTAGTAGGTGGCACGATCTCTGACCTCATCATCACCATCAAGGAGGCATCTGAAGAATTAAACACAGTCTTTAGTGACAAGGATTTTTATCTTGGCTTTCATCTCTGTGGGCTTGCTTGTGGTCATAAATGCTGTCATCGATATTTTTTAGAAATCTCAAACTAAAACAAGGAGACCTTCCGCCCAGAAATCCTCTCTTTAAAGAACGTAAAAACAGCTGAAACTTGACAACCAAGCCCTTGAAAAAGCCCTTCAAATTTAAATCTTACAATTTCATTGTTGCATGGCTATATTATACAAACAGCATGCTTGATAAGAAAAACTGTGGAGCACATTAGACCAAAGCAGGGCAGATGAACTCTTTGGTTTCTTCATGTGTGCAGTGCACTAAAGAGGGCAAGATCAAACACATCAAATCTTAAAGAAGCAAAGCCTTTGCAATGATGTCAAGCAATTGAAAACAAAGAGCAAAAACTGCAATGAGATGGTGAGAAGTTTACCTCTTGAGTAGAACAATAACACTAGGGAGCAGAGACTCACAGTGGGCACCAAACTTAGCCAATGAACTCACAGCAGCTGACATAGTAGAGAGAAATATTAGAGTCATTTCAAATTCATCTCAATGACAGTTTTCCTTGCCAGAAATGTAATACACATTCCAATAGAATTATGCAAATTCATCTCAGTGACAGTTTCCTTGCCAGAAATGTAAATACACATTTCAGTAGAATTATCTTTACATTTATTCTTAAAAAAACACTTAAATTGCCATAAATAAGAACATGATGCAAGCTTCAGACCTTAAAATGGTCTACCTGAAAATTGCATTTCCTAAAAGAGCATATTAACACAACAGAACATAAAACATAACAAACTGTGAGTCAGGAAAAAAAAAGCTTTGTGTGGAGTGGGGAGGAAGGGGCTGGGGTGATAAGACTAGCCTACTTACCTGCTCTAATTGCTGCACTCTCCAAGATAACACGATTGAAGATGAAGCGGATATACTTGGATGGGTTCTGGGTGCGTGGTCCCTCTCTCCCTAGGAGATGCAAGATGCGGGTTGCCAAGGAGACATGCTCACAATCCTCAATAAACTCACACAGGTGAGCCAAGCCTGCCTCCTTAGCTTCAGGGTTCTCCTCAATGATGACAATGATGCTGTCAACGATAGCTCGCTTGTACTCGAATCCACCCTAGTTTGGAAAGAGAATTTAATAACAACCAGTCCTGGCTGTTTAATCCCTTTCTTCCCATAGCAGTCTATGTTGCAATTTGATTGAAGTATGCCAACTGTGAGGTTAAACATCTCCTAAGGCAACCTGTGACCTAGGATTTCAGCAACTCTCAATTCACAGAACAAGCTTTTTTCATCAAGACTTCTAAATTTTCCTGGATATCAGCTTTTGACATACAAACCCACGGTAGTCAAAGAGACACTGTTTCTTTAAATAACAGAGTCACTTCATTTTTACTGAAAAGTTCAAAACAAAGCAGTTTGGAATGTTTCTAAGTGGCATAACAACCATGTAAAGATCTACCAGTAAAAGAAATAGAAAAACAAACTTTAGGGAAAAGTAATGTTTTCAGTTGTTCTGATTTCAAGCAGTGATACAGTTAGTGGCCATATTACCTCTTCACGAAGCATGTTGGACAAGAAACTCATCATGACGCCATGCTTACGAGGAAACTTGCTACACAAGGAACGGACAGCTTGTACCACCACCACCTTGAACTCATCCGAGATCTCAGACATGAAAGTAGCTATCTGCTTCATCAGACGCTCCACACTCCCTTCGCTGCCTGTCTTGAGTAAGGTTGTAATAGCCAACGTGGCAATGCTGCGGTTGACATCGGTGATCAGGTTTTCTAGGTCCAGATTGCAGGCAGTGACAGCTGCTGGATGGGTCATAGCGACCTGTTGGAGGCAGGGGTGGAGAAAGGATACCAGAATGGGTGATGAAGAGGTAAATGTCAGGAAAAGATGATACACTAGAATCTCTTTTCTGGATTGAAATACATGAGGGGCCAAGTTGACAAATTTAGTTGCTAAGCACAATTGCACTTGGCAGATTTGAAAAACAAATCTGCCAAGTAAAAAGTCATCAGCCCAAACATCAACTGGATGGAACCACTATACTCACTCTGTTGAGAGTCTTCGTGGCAGCAAATCTCAGAGTAGGTTTAGGAGAGCTCAGGAACAGCTGTAAGACAGAGACGGCTGGAGCTAACTCCCTAGCTGTAGTGTTCTTCATGTTGACAATGGCATGAGCTGCTTCATAGATCACCATCTGTGGATAATGCACAGGGATGAATATTACCATCCAGGGTTTTAAGACAAAAACAGAAAATCTATTTGGGAAATAAATCATACGTGGAATGGTGGTAGAAACCAATTCACATGGGATTACTGTAGCGAGACCAGTAATGACAAAAGTACAGTGTCATTGATGGTTTTATTAACGGTTAGCACAATGTTCCCATAATTGAAAATAAGGTCCAGCGACTACAGTGCCTTGTGCTAGGATTGTTGAGGGCCTCAACACACTACAATACCTTCAAAAAGCAAATATACATCAGTCACTGCAGAGGTGTCAAAAAAAAATCTGACTCACCTCACTTTTGTGCCTCAGACAACCCTCGATGAAATCAAACAATGGACTGTCATTCCTGAAAAGGAAAAATAAATGTACAATTGAAGTACAAGCCACAAGCAAGAATGATCTTTCTTAAATTTTCTTAAATATGGAAATGAAACTATTTAATGTAGTAGCCACTCTGTTTTTGAAATCCAACCAAATCTTCGGTTATTTTACCTGCTTTGAACAATTGTTATTTACTCATAAAAGGGATGTTATTACGGTCATTTAAAGCATCAACATCTAAGTTTTATCCCTGTTACCATCTTACCCAGCATCCTCATCTTCCAAAAGCTTCGATGCAATCCGAATCTGAGTGAGGAAATAAATCAAGAAGGGGTAAAAATCCACGTACAACAGGCATGTGTTTTGGCATCCTATTATGTGGAAGCAGACGGGAATTAATGATCCAAATCTGGTACCTTATGTGGCGTGGACTTACCAACATACAAGTAGCATAAGGAGACTTGAGGCCTCCACGAGTGTACTTGCCAACCAGTTTAGTGATAGCTAGTCGGTCATTCTTGCGGATATGATAGATCAGTCCTAGGGCGTGGTACTGGACCATTACATTGTCACTGGTAGCAGCCTCTTGAGCCTCATTGACCCAGCGTTTGACAACATCAGGACTCTGAGACAACAGGTGCTGTCAGGAAATTGGAAAGAAATCAATTAATCAATCATCTACCTTGTCAATATCAAGTCGGGTGATCATAACATGGGTATTGTTCAGATTACCAACTTACCAGTGATGATGCAAGAGCTGCACTAGACACACTGTGGACCTTGTCAACAATTGCCTGCTTCATGTAACGTTCTAAGCCCTGCAACATGGTGGTCTGAAAAGATGGGGAAAAAGACAACACCGTAACGATTGGAACTGTTACCTTTGTCTACAAGCTAACGAGTCATGCCTTCAATTGAGGCCACAGACACCATACCATATGAAAGTGGCTCTTGATTGTAAAGGCATTGTTGCAATACTTTGAATATCTGTGCTTTGGAGGTTCCTCCAAAGACAAACAATTTCTGCTGAGAATGACCGTGGAATATCAAGTATTGTCACATGGGAGTATTGGCTTGTGAAGGCTCAAGTGGATCAGGGAAGGAGAGGTACCCACTGGAGAGTCAAATTACAATTACTGGATGGCTAACTCGCTGTGTACAGTCCTAGTGGGTAGATCTGTGTCTGTGCAAACAAATCCAGATTTTGAACGGCTTTTATATGACTAGTTGCAAATCTATATTTGTATTCTAAAATGATTTGTTGAGATAGTTGCTATGCCGAAATCCCAAATCAGTATTAAAAAATGGGCATTTAATTTTTCTATGTGAAAACAATGCAAACATATGCACACCCACTCACCAACTCACATCAGTGATCTTGCATTGTTAGCGCTCTATTTGTTTGATACAGCTGTAGAGTACCAACTCCATCAGTGATCTTGCTGAGTAAGCACTCTAGTTATGTGATACAACTGTAGAAAACCAACTCACATCTGTGATCTTGCAGAGTTAGTGCTCTA